GGACTGAACAATTCACTGGAATTAGGAATTGTGAAGTCAGTTTTATGCATTTTATTGACAAAGGTAAAAGATGATCTTCCTATCGACTCGGTGACATTTCTTTCTATGGCATGAAAGTCCTGAAGAGAGCAGTAAGACTTAGTAGGTCACAGCTGATTTTTCTCTTGCTTACCAAGAGTGTTTTGACACTTACTGTCCATTATTCCACTGTTTCCTTTATATGAAATTCCCTCAAATGTAAGTGATAAAAAACAGTTTCCCTAAGCTAATCGTCAGAAAATGGACAGACACAGCTACAACACTGAGTAACATAACTATACAAAAGGATTATAAATATGTCACACATTAGAAGAGAATGGAATGGATATATTCAAATTCTTACACTAACATTCATAAGTGTACTATTTAAAGATTAGAATATTTTTAAAATCTGTTATCACATATTCCAATGAAATTTATTTTGAGGTTTAAACTACAGCAGCTGCATTACATTTTCAAGCTGAGACTCAGAAGCAGTGAAGCAGACATCTTTGGAGAGAGAATGCTTTAAATGTGCTTACAGATAAAGATGCAAATTTAAGCATCAAATATAAATTCAAAGCTCTATATTAAAGGAGTGATCAGAAAGACTTAGGATAGACATGAAAAAAGAAAAGCACAGCTAACACAAACCAATATAAAAAGATCATGTAATAAGGGAAAATAAAAACAGCTCCTATATTATCACAAATTGAAAAGGCAAGGTAAAAGACAGTGCGAATGTGAGGGAACATTTTTATCTGTTCTGCCTTCAATGAGAATATAGTTGATACTCTTCCATCTTCCCTAATCGGACAGCGTGTTTTTCACTTTGCTTTAAATCTGTAACTGGAAATGTACTGAACAAGGAAGATGATCAATGTGAATTGTTAATTAAGTGAATGCATAATTAATCTAATGAGAATAATCCTTTTTTATAATGAAAAAAGAGAATTGTTAAACAATTTAGAGTTATTAGAAACAATGCATTATTCAAAGGGAACTATTTTAAAAGGAGGTCTCAGTGGTGATTAATTAAACAGAGTTAATTTGAACCTCCTGTTGGGTTCTAGATTTTCCCATTCCAATTAAGCCATTACTAGCATGAAGATCTCTGTACACCCACTGATCTTGAAATCTCATTCCCTCTTGGCATGTTAGCAACAGCTTCTTTTTACTGCCAAATTCTAAAGGAAATAGAAGAGACTGGAAAGTAAGGCTACTAGTAGAAGGCCACTAGTGAAATTCCTCTGTACCTTGGGGAGGGAGAAAGAGAGATTTGCTTTGAAGTGAGAGTTAGTACATAAAGTATCCCTCAACTTCGAAATCAACTAGACTACATCTTACTTAGGCATATCAGTACAATACCAACTAACCTCTCTCTTTTCAAACTGATATGCGCTTCTGCATTCCACTGTTTGCAATTCATCTTATCTCTGTGCAATGACAACATTGCACAGAATCTTTAAGCTTACCTAAGTTAGGTTCAGTGCAGATTGAAATGGGAGAACGCCACATCCTGTGTGGGTGGTCAATAGCATATCCAAAACTAAATACTCTCTGGGACATAACTCACAGGACACTCCAATGCTCTCTTTGGCTTATTTGCTAACAAATGTGACTTACTGACTCTTTGAGATTTTTTTTTCCAATCCAAACCATGTGTTATGTTTTACTTTAAAAAAAGCATTCTTTTACATGCATGAGAAAGTGATGCAAAATTATAAAACTAGTTTCCCTTTGATTTCTATATGAAATGCCAAGACGGCTTCACAATATTTTAACAAGAATTCCTTCAGAATGGATTAATTGATAGTTATCTCTCTATAGTTTCTCAGATTGTCACTTGGATTCATCCCATTTTGCCATATGCCTGTAACTGAGGTACTTAAGTTAGAAGTAGAGTTGATGTTAGAAGTTCTGAGTTAGAAGTGCCTGTCAGATGAGACAAATAGGCAACTGAGACGATTTCACATTGTGCGTTCTGTGCCACATTGCAGATACCAAATATTTTGTGTTAGTGACAGAAGCCACCTTGGTCCTGCAGGATGCAAAACGACATACTTCAGTTAAATGCATATCCTGAATAAAAGCGGGTGAAATATTTTGAAGAGATTTCCTTAGTGAAAACCAAGATAGGGAAAAAAAAAAGTTTTTAGTAAGTTTAACTTGCTTCATTCAAATTTTTTTCACCTTAAGACTTCTCCTTCCATAACAGAATATGTATGAAAAATATCCAGTTAAAACATTCGACTTTATAGGAACATTCAGATCTCCTATCTGAAATAATTTGCTGCACTGTTTTGATTTTTAAAATTGTACGCTTTCCCAAAAGTAGCTTTTAATTGCCAGAAAACTAAAGAAAAAGAAAAGGAAACCATGTAGGAACCCTTCTTCTGCACTCTTCCCTTGGTCATATTTTTCTACTTCCTGATTCATCTGTATTATTCACAATATAACGGTTCCTCATAAAGTTCAGATATTCACACAACTGGCATATAATAGGGAAGGGAAAAAAAAAAACAAGGAGAAAAAAAGGGGAAAAAGCGGTCCACAGGTGAGCAGCCACCTGCATTTTCAGCCTGCAAGGCGGCTGCCTCCCAGCCTGGAAACCTCTCGGGGGGTCACTATAGCAACAGCTCTTCCTCGTTATGTCTAACGAAGTGGCAACATGTCTGCAGCGAGCGGGGATTTGTAGCCCTTCAGCTTTCCACTCGTTCCGCTCCCTTCAGACGTCTCCAGGCATAATGAGTTCGAGAAACGCTGTTTTAAACCCCAAATCCGCAGCCAGCTAATTATCCATACAAAACTGATTGTGACACTGGCTTCATCAGAGAAATGGGCTGCGGTGGTGTTAGCCCGATCACAAAAGCAATCATGAAGCTGTTCACATCTCTCCCAATTTCTGTGATACCAAATAAGCTGACTCCTGCAGCAACTCCCATCTTCTAAGGATGTCTTTGAACATCCTTAGATGTGTCTGATGTGCTGAATTAAAGCACATTCGAATACAAGTGTAAGCCTCTTAAAACATATAATATATGGCCAGTTACCCCTGATTAGCTCAAAAATAATAATAATAAAAAAAAATCCCAAAGGTTAGATGTCAAAAAGAACATCTGCACATCCTGGGACAGGAATTACAAGTGTGTGCACTTGGAATGTTATCTCAAGTCCATATATCCATGCTACTCCATCAACACACTGTTGTGTCCCAGCTGAACTCTCTTTCTATATGGCTATGCTGTGAGGTATGTGTTTTTTTAGGGCTGATGCCAACTATTTTATTCCCTGTTCCAATATCTTCATACAAAGAGAAGAGAAAATGTATCTTTTAGATTTGCATGAGAAATATGGACATATTTCCCTGTGGTTTCACATTTGGCATATACGATGCAGACTGTACCTGTGACAAGCTGCTAAAACAAGCTCATGAGATGTAGGGCTAAAGCCTACCAAAAGTGTTCACTAGGGATTGTCCTTTAATAACTGGAATGTCCTTGGATACAAACTCTGCGGATTTCTGACAAATACAAGGAAACAGGTGGGAGTGAAAAAAAAAAAAAAAAAAAGAAAAAAGCCAAAATAATTAATTTTGAGTTTTACAAAGTTCTGTGTGTAACATGATGAGGTTTTGAGCTCACCTGTACTATACACACATCTGAACCAAGCATAAATAAATCATTCCCTCCTTACAACTCCTTTGCCATAGAAATGGAGTAATACTGCTGAATTCAGTGAGTTAATCAGAACCTGTGCAATCAAAAGTTTCATCTAAATTCTGTAAAGCTGCCAGCGTGTGAAGTATTTCACAACAGAGATCCAGAGCCTCATCCTCAGTGAGTCTTCTGCGTGTTTCGTCCTGCAGGATCAGATTTTAGTACTACATTCGAAACACTAACCGAATTGTGACTTTTGGTCCTCTACAGAGACACAAGGTCACTAATTGTAACAATCCTTAATACAAAATAAGAGAAATGCAACATTGAACTACATTTGTTAAATATCACAACATGTTGCATGCATTTATAGTGGAAGTATAACACAAACATAAAGCCAAAACGTCAGCAATTCTGAGAAAGAAATCACAAAAAGTAAAAACAAGTTTTTATGTGAGGTTCGTTTTCCCTTTTGGCCACTCGTTTTCATTTATTTTACATTTACCAGTTGGAACCAGAAGAGGAAATTAAAACAATATACAAAGATATATATAGTGTGCCTGTGGTTCTCCACCTCCCTCTTTAACTAAGATGAAATTTATTCCTTCTTTCTATATTTTTCAATTGGGAGTACCTCGCTTGCATTTTTAGATTTGTCTATTATCAGCTTTAAAATACAGTAAGAATTAGTCCATAAAGTTAAATATTTTTGGTACCTTGGGACTAATCACATCTGGAAATATCCAGCAAAAGCCATCCAAAGTTATAAAGATACCTTCAAATTAACTGTGCGCTTTAAGCACATTAGTGGCTGAGTATGACAGAGGTATAGCCAACTTGTTAAAAACCTTTTAGAATACTTATCTGTTGCAAGCTATGAAGATGCTGGAAAGGGGACAGATGCAAGTCCCATAAACACCCAACAAAAAGCAGACGCATGCACGTACGGAGCTGATGCACTCTAAGCATAACCTTTAGCTGCCCACCCACCAGCAGCAAGCAAAGCAAGGCCAACACAGTTAATAGTAATTCCAGGCTCTGAAGCTTTGACGTATGGCCATAGCCACCTTCCTTTCCCAGAGAGGCAGTGATCCTGAAACTCTCCTCATAGGAGGAAACGATGTAAAATATGACTTTTTTCCTCTTTCCTTTCCCTTTGCAGTGATTAACAAATTGAAATGAAGTTATACACAGCAGATTAGTTTCTTTCCCTTTAAAGGAGGTATTTTGCCAGTAGCACTTTTCAAATCTTTCATCACTCTGGGTGACTAGCAGCAAGCCTGGAACACACGCGGAAACCCCGAGTGCCTCTCTGAACCTTACCATAATGCATGTAGCAGTTGCCTTTGGTAGGGTCCAGCTGAATAGCCTTCACAAAGTACTTCTCTGCCTCACTCTTGCGTCCCTGGTTTAATAAAAAGAAAAAAAAAGGAGTTAAAAAAATATTTTAACTGTGGGTCACCATGGAGCCATCACGTGCAGTTACAATTTCAAAATTCCAAGTGCTACAGAAAAACAATTTCTGTTATCACTGGACTTGGCCTAAGTAAATATGAACGTTTAAAGTGTTACAGTAAGTTCTGCGGTCAGCTGCTTTAGCTGCAGATCTCTAGACTGAGGGGAAAAAACTGTATCCAACCCTGTCAAAGCTCATGAGCTACAGAAGTGGTAGAAATCCACTGCAATGAATATTGTGAAGGGAATTGGGTGAACCTGGAACTACAAGCTACTTTTCTGGACAGGCATCAGGACAAGCCTTACACAGACCCAAGCTAAAACAAGCAGGCAGGGTAGTTGGGCTCAGTCATTCTCAATAACGAAAAGAGAAGGAAATGAGAAAAGTATGTGCTAATTTGACCAAATGTCTGACAATAAAGTCACTAAAATCAAAGGAACACAAACAGAAAGTATTTCTGATTTTAACACAAGAAGCAAGATCTTTTCCAAAGTCAGAGCTCTGTCAACCATAAAACATAACAGAAAAAAAAAAAAAAAACATTTTTTTAAGAACAATGACCAATGCTATGACAAAATGTCAATAAAACACATAAATGGTGATAAAAAGAGCAGGTATATCCTAAAGCACTTTTTTCACTAAAATGATCAAGCCACTAAAGTTGCACCGTGTCATTGTTGGCCCAAAACACCAGGGCAGATCCACAAGCATTCATCATTTTTTTTTTTTCATGAAGAAAACAATGATATTGCATTAGCCTAGACTGATATTCCAATACAATCAGCTATTCAGTAAGATACCTGTGACCAGATTATTCCTCACTCCAGGAAATTAGTTGCTGTGGTTTGCATTACAAGGTAAAGGGCTCCAGAATAAAGGGTGGTTAAGCTGAACCACTGTGGAAGAAAGACAAGTAGTTTGGAAGAAAGTAGTTTGTGCTGCGGGGTTGCCCTGAGTGCTGCTGCACAGATACGTGCACACAGGCTTTCCCAAGCTATGTGGTCTAGAACAGATATCTGACAGGGTGCACATCCTGCGCTCTCCCACAAGCCAACAGAGGAGCAATAACAAGGTCTGCTCGTGATTATGGCTGCTCCGGATTCTCAGGATGCTCCTCCAGGGGATCACTTTAAAGACAATAAAATAGAGGGAAAAGTTCTGCAGCACACCGAGGAATTTATCAAGACCAGGTTTTTATCAGAAGCAAGATAGCGGGCAACTTTCCAAGAAAGTATCCTGGTAGTGATACCAGCAGCCTTATCATTTACGCTGTCATTTACACTGACATACTTTAACAAATGAATGTTCATGGGAGGTAGGAATGTATTATTTAATAAAAAATTCTTTGGTAAGCCTGTATGTCTTAAACTCACCACAAGTCACAAAGCATGAGGCTTCTGCCAACCAAACCTTGCAGTGGTGACAGCAGTATGCAACGTCATACACTTTTTTTTAATATATATCATATAGCTATGGTTCTGAACAAGAACTGAAGAAGAAAATAATGGCAAACATGGCATAAATTCCTGTCAGGATAAAATAATTATTCAAATCAAAACTGTTCATAATTTTAAACAGAAAATCTTTTTGGGGAGGAAGTGCTGTTCCTGCCTTTTTTGTTTTAAATTTTATTTTCTTAATTTTAACTAAACTTTACAAACTTAGCAGCAAAGCTAGCATTCCTAGTCTGGCCACACAGGCAAATCCAACCTAGCATCTCCAAAGTGACAGGCGTCAATCATATATACCACTAATACTGGCAGAGGTAACATTCACAGATTTTACATCGTGCTTTTGAACAGACTAACGTCATTAGCCTTAGCTGGTTGCACTCTGCCTCGGTATCTATTTCTAGCATGTAAAAGGGCAGTTCACTGAATACGGTCACAAAACACGCAGCTCCTGCCTGCAGACCGCTGGCCGTAAGGCCACAAACATTTGTCAAACAGAATTAACACTCATTTAGACAGATCATCAGTAAATACGTGACTGCTCTGTTCTTTTTGGCACTTCCCAAATGGCACCCTGCACCCGAGTTGGCCCTGCAGGAGACCTGGGGCACAGAGCGATGACAGGTGCCAGCACAGATAGCATCAAAAGAGTGACTGGGCTGTTAGCAGCCCCAAATGGTCCTTTAACAGGGAAGAAAAAGAAAAAAAAAAAAAAAGGAAGATAAAAGTGTCTTATGCCGTATCACCCAAGGCATAAAATGATCTGGCCACGGCTGATGAGCACAGAGGCGTTTGCTCGTGCCGGCCGTCATCTGGATGTGCCCACGTGTGTCAAGAAGGGGACGGCGGCAGGGTCTCGGCGGTAGCCTGCACCACGCCATCCACCAGGTCCTCTTCAGAGCCATCTGCCTGCTGCTGAAATGTCAGCACCTCAGCCCAGATTTCATAAGCTTGGTTTGTGTGTCAGAGGGTATAAAATCCAGCCGTTTGACAGAACTGGGCCATTCCACCATGAAAACTTTAGTGTCGCTAAACTTCAGCATTTATCAAACTTAACATCTGCTTCGAGGCAGTAACTTTTATTCTGTTACCCGGTGTATACCTTCACTAACATAACAGAACATACACAAAGCATAGTTAGATTAGGTTGGCAACCCCATCTCTATCCTTTCCCACTGCATGGATTCATCGTTAAATAAAAGAGGGAACAAAATTCTTCTTTTTAAAAGAAAGTCCACAGTAATTATTTAAACAGATGAACAACAGTGAGTTGGTGCAAGATGGCATTTTTTGTGCACATTCTCTGCTGTGTGCACTGACCCATACCAGTGCAGGCACTGAGAGCCACTGGAAAGCTCCCAATTTCTCGCAGGAGGGTTTGCAGTTGTACATACACAACGACATGATTTGGCAACGGTACCAAGTGAAAAATATAGGTTTGCAAGTGTGTGCTAGCAGGATTATTTCAAGGATAAAAAAAGTTATTCATAAGATTTTAATGGAAGGATTTGATGGCTTTGAGGATTAATAGCAGGATAAAAAAAATACTTTTCACCTATTGGTCACTAGTTCATATCCAATCCCTGCCAGTAGCTAATGAAAAGGTGCTATTTGACAGCTACTAGCTTGCTCTAGGGAAATAAGTGGGTTGTCCTAGTCCAAATGCTAAGGGAGATACTCAATCCAACTTCACATGAAGCACCGGCAGGTTTATGGCACTGCCAGGACAACACCAAGGTTACACCACCACGAAACAACAAACAGATATCTCATTGCCGGGGAGATGATTCATGAAGATGATTCACATTTTGGAAGATCATACCATTATCCTCCTTATAGGATCTGGAAAGTATATATAAGTAAAATAAGGCTCTTCTAAAACTACCCCAGCTGCCCCAGCTTTCAGAAATATCCCGCTCTCCGCAGATCATGTAGACTTCAAATTGGGGTGCCTAGTTGTTTGTAGTTTTGAAAGTCAAACAGTTATTAAGCATTTAAATATGAATCAAGGAGCTCAGCTTTTAAGATACCAGTACTTTGCAGGTGTAAACTGAAAGGGGTTTTGTTTTCTCTTAGTCTTTTTTTTCCCCTTCCCTGAGAGACTAGACTGTAGTGAGCCTGACCTTAGTACTATGGTCAGATACATTGCTTAACTGGGCTTTCCTACAAAAGGCTAATGGTTACCACAACAAATGAGAGTGAGCTAAGGACAGCTGACATATTCGTAAAATATGTTGCTTTTATACTCAAAATATTAAAAAAATAAGGACATAAATACCTTTTTTTTTTTTTTTTATACCCACTCCAATCTTTTTGCTCATTCTGCTTGGCAGACTGTGCCAAATTTATGTTGAGGCAGCTGGTGTACTTCAGGCTGCCAGAGGCCCAGGACCTTAAGATGCTAATAAAATTGGAAAAGATTAATACAGCTGAGCAGCTCTGAATAACTCCCTTGTGCAGCCTACGACGACAGTGGCCAGCTCTAAGGTGGTTCAGCAAATTAGGTGGTCTCTGCATTTTCACTCATTTTCTTTTTTCATAAATATGCATCATGCTTGAATCTGTGCAGAGACTCAGTAAAGCAGAGACTCTAATACAGTCTTCAAAATGTGTTAGTTAGCTGGGCTAAAACCTAAACTAACAAGGGAACTGAAGTGTTATCAAGAAGTTATCTGAGAAGTATCAAGAGTTACCAAGGTCACTGACATATGCCAGCTCTACCTCCCTCTAAAAATTAACACCTAAGTGAAGAAAAGACTTGAATTCACTCAGGATGGAAAAAGTCCCTGGCAGGATCAATCAGATACAATTTATTCTTTTAGTTCTAACACTTATTTGTATGTTAAGTGCTTCCCTTCCTGCTGGAGCTTAAGCACTTTTGAATGTGACACCATTGCTTATATATAGATTTAGGAATCTAAAACACAGCTCATAACTTTACTGGCTCTGGGCATGATTCAAAGCCTATCAAGGTGACACATTCTTCAAGCAGAGCAGTATGTATCTGATTAAGTAATAATATATTAGATCTATCTGACATCCATTTTTCTGTTTTATGAGTATCATATCACAAAAAGCATTCTTGTTTTATTAAAGCATGCAAAATGATATAGAAAAAAAGGGTTTTTTTGGAAGATGAAGATGACGTTTGTTTAATATAAGAGTGTGTGAGCGTGTGTGTGTATACACGTACATATAATCTTTTTTGAAAACCATGATGTATAAAAGGAATTTACATCAGGTTACATTACTGTTAACACTCAAAAAAATGTGTATAGTCTTAGATAAACTTTTAAAGAACAGATTTCATTGCACACCTTGTGATTTATTTACTGCCTAGAAACATATTGAAATGTTCACCTTGGTCATTACACTTTAGATAATTTTATATCAGGAATACGTAATGAAATGTTAAGTAAGTTTCCATGTTAGGCATTTCTTTCCCATTCAGTCCTAAGCCACATTTTATATTTTCTGATAAAGTAGTGTATTAATATC